ATAGATTATATAGAATTTTACAATATTCTCGCTTGAAAGTTAAGAGTCTGGTACAGACACGATTTTTGTTTTAGATGCCGAGGTTCACTTACCGTTCCAATTGAACTTACGGTAATGTTTTTATGGGTTATTAAAGCGTGTATTTCATGGATGATATTGCTGAATCTCATTTTGCTTGTTAAAAATGATTTTATGTTACAGAATGGTATATGACATAACAGTCGTAAAACGTAATGTAGTAATTTACGGGTAGTCGACCCAATGATCGGGGCTATGGAGACCACCGTGTTACCCTAAGAACAACCCTCCCAACCTAGTTGGTAATTTAGAAATACATAGTAATTTATTCTGAAAGGTAGTGTACCAACCCTGCAACAATATTCCATTAAGGACTGAATTGAAGACAACATCACATAAGTGACCTAAAAGGTGCATTCTTCGTAAGGGTAAATTTTGTTTTATATAATTTATCAATATGAACATCTCAATTTAAATTTTGATCAAGTGTGTAAGATTTTTAATAGGCATATCATTGACCGGTATTGTCTTAAAATGGGGCAATCATTATCATCATCACAAATGTGTTTAAGTGGGCATCATTTTGAATAGTCATATCATTAATTCGTGATCCTCAGCAGAAGATTTATTTTTGAATGCAAGGAATGCATTTCGTTGTTTTGTTTTTTCACAGATAAACATTGTATATTTAGTAATCCATTTAAAAATCGGGTCATCATTTAATTTGATATTGACTCCAGAAACTACTGGTACTTTCCAATGAAATTAAAAGTGTTTGATCGTCTGCAAACATATCCAAATTAAGATTGCTCTGAGATTATTTATGAAGATAACAAACAAGAGAGAATCGAACTCTGAACTCTTAAATATTGATTTATACTCTATACTCACTTGAGGAATAACCTGGTGCGAAATACAGTAAAACGTGTTGATTATGAACGGCCATGACATCACTGCCATGACATTGGCGATCTTGCTTGCATGGAAAACAGTATGACGACTATTTAGTCCTGGTATATAGCACTATTTGTTAATAAAATTAAATAATGCACAGTAAGTAAGCAGTAAGTACCAGACTTGTCGCAGCTTGACTTTTTTGTCACTGCGCCCTATAGGTCAAATTTGTTTCACGTTTGATGTGTTGCATATGGAATGGCCAGCCCGAGTTTGAAGCGTCGTCACATCTGAGAGTGGTAACGGGGCCAACAACAGACATGCACAAACTTTTCAAAATGTTTTCTATATATTTTCCCCAACTAGTCTGATAAACGTTATCCTGAGAGACAAATGCCAATACAATTGACAATGAAAATATTGTTTTTCAACTTACGAGTACTGACAGTTCGACAATACAGCGGAATCTCACAAAGTTTGTATATTTTGTTTTTTTACACATACAAACTATTATATTAAGTTTCAACCAAAATAACATCGTACCTCTCTCGTGTTTTTGTATCATTATTCTGTACTAAAGGCCGTTGGCCATAACACCTGAAATAAACACATATACATAATACTAATAATAATATTAATAATACTAATAATACTAATACTACTACTACTACTACCACCATTATGCAAACTAGAAGGCGATCTTCAATGGAGAATTCTCCATGGAGCTTATACTACTGGCACGTATCTCTATAGTACAGGATTCGCACAACACGATAAATGCCCTGTTTGCGGCGATGACGATTCATTGTGTCACATTTTTTATGAATGTCCCAATATCAATGCTTTGCTGATCCACATCAGGACTATTGCTGGTCGCCTCACATTCCCTGATTCAGCCATTCATCTATGGTGGTTTGTTATGTTACCACCTTCCAAGGCACGCGCCTTTTTAAACAAGCTTATCAACTGTTCATTTACATTGTTGCCACGGCAAAGATGTCAATTCATCTCAGTCGCAGAATAAGCGTCAAGACATGGGAACTACTGATCCACTGGAGATTTTTAAACATCGTACGCTTTCCAG